AACATCAGCATCAGAAGATATGTCACATCAGAGGATCAAACATGTGCTACGCTGAAGCCTGATGAACAGAATCTGCACAAAACATACTCTGACTCTGATCAAGATCCTAACCATGTCATCAGCACTCAAAAACGCCAGAATAAGCAAAAGCCAAGAACACTCTGATCATCATTAGCAGAACACTATGAAGTGTCAACGTTACTATGCATTCAAGACAGATTTATTACCAACAGCTTTATTCCAAGACAAAGATCTTCTCAAAAAGGAAAGAATTTTATGAGCATTAAAATGGATTTATGGACAGCAACGTATCTATTCCAAGGCTACTTAAACAAGTCAGTGAGAAAAGAATTGGCTAATTATTTCATACGCACATACGCATAAGCTAATCATCTTCACGTTCTCACTCATCCAATTTGCTAAAGCTCTCAACCGCTTACTCTATAGCTCTAGCAATCTAGTTTCATCCTAAGCTTAATATTGTGTATTATCACAGTTGTGATATATAGTTTTTCTAGAAAACATCAAACACACACTTGTTCATTTATCTGTAAAAGAATTTCCTTGAGATAAACCGGTCTGTGGTTAGACTCAAGAAGGCTTTAACAGTTGTTAAAGCAGTTGTGTATTCAGTTGAATATAGTGGATTAAGACCTCGTTGGAGAGAGGAGAAATCACCTTGACGGGTGGACTGAATTAGTTTGAGATCAAACGAACCATGATAAAAATAACGTGTTGTCTGCATTTGATTTCAAGTTTTACAATTCAACCCCCCTTCTTGTGTTTTTCACATCTTCACTGTATGTACCACTCCAATGGAGCTTTAGCTAGAATGTCCTGAAAGAAATGCATGAGCAACGACTCGTTGCTAGCATAAGAGGCCATCTTTCTACAATATGAGTGGAGATGAGTCTCTGGACATGTAACCCCCTTATACTTTTCAAACTCCGATACTTTCAACTTTGGTGGAATCACGGCCCCCGGAACCAAACACATAGCAGCAACACTGAATCTCGGCCCTTTGGAAGTCTCCATAGCCTTTAAACATTCTTCCAAAGCCTTGTACATTTTAGTAGTTTCAGACAAATCAGTTGTACAATCCTTTGGAGGGCCATCGAGGTCGATGACATCATAGTGGTCATCCACAATCATCTGTGGGTTCTCTTTAGGAATTCCCCCATTGTCGTTCCTGGGTCCACCATTCTCAGACATAGAGGCATTGTGAACCAGCTTAGTAACACTCAATCTCAGCTCTTCTTGCCCCTGGATGACGGCATGAAGAGTTTCTATGAGCTTATTCATTCTATCACCCATGGTGTCCATGTCTTTACAGAGTGCTACCTGGTTCTGCTCAATCTGCTCCATAATCCTCAGCTTGTTGGCTCGAGTGCGATAAGCATGTAAGGAGGTCGTCTTGTAGATTCACATAATAAGAGGCAAAACCATCAAATAGGAATTCTGGCCAGAAAACCTGTAATTCATGAAATGCATGATATGTATGATGTATGAAATGATTGCCCATTCTGGTTTGTCATAGCTCAATCAACGACAGTAATAATCGAGCAACATGATAATAAGAATGACCATATAAAAGAAATATCCAGAAATAGGATAAATTCCAGCGGAGTTTAATACAAGAAAATTGTGAACATACAAGGTAAGTGATTCCTCCCAACAAGCCTGGCGGTAATCGGAACAACAATACAATAATCAATCTCTTAGCCTTGAAGAGTACAGCAGACTGTGCCCCAAGTATTTAGAACCAGACTTTGAAACACCTCATCCTCCTTGATCATCATGATCTCCAGAATACGGAATCGAGTCAACAAATTAACATATTCTTCATTTGTGGCATGATATTTTTGCCCCTGTTATAGCCTTCAACCTACTTTTTGGGATTCTCAGTCTTCTTGTTGAACCGTGTCATAGACTATGCACCAAGTACCATTTCTAGCCATTTTTTCTACTTTATTGTCCAAGAAGTATGATGGTAGCCTACCATTCTTTCTCCATCTCTATCTCACATCATTAAGGCCCAAATAAAGTGCTTTAGTAATAACTTCAGAATTGGGCTCGTGCAGAACAACAACAAATATGTGCTCGGTGATCTTGAGGAAATGAGAATACTCTTCCAAAGTCGGAGTGATTTGATAGTCCTGGAAGGTGAAATAGTGTAACTCATAGCCGTAAAAATGAAGTAGGGTCAAAGTGCCACCATGTCTTTCACTAAAAGCCTCTGAATTAGGACAGACTAAACGATCTTTCAAACTCTTCAAACAAAGCTAAGAACTTGAGCGAAAATGACAAGTACAATTGTCTCTTTTGGTCCTCTTGAGAACATCACTGTTGCTAGACGTTACTGATGGAAACTATAACTTTGTGAGATACCCCAGAATGGACATTCACATGCAAGGTTAGTATATAGTTTCATTTTTCTAACATTTCTTTTTTGAAAAATAAACGTGTTATGATGTAAGTGCAAGTGATCATGGGATTACTAATTCCATGATACTGATTTTTGATGTACTGTCTCTGCATAGTCTGTTAGTACCAAGATCACAGGTTCACAACATAAAACAAAGAACTATAGTCACCAACAGAAATCCAGAACATAACCAATAGAACAAATGGTCACCATCTGAACATGAGTAACCATCTGAACATAGTCACCATCTGTACCTATGGTAAAATATTCCCTCCCCACTCGAGGGTCACGACTAGGTCAGGGTAAGGCAAGGGTAACTCGAAAATCACGGGTCCTCTTGAAAGTTAAATCATCGCAACACAGGCGTGCATGATGAAAATACCTCCAATTGAACCTCATCTAAGCATGGTATATGACATGACCACACTAATAGGACCATGTCCTATATCCGTCATGTCCCCACTCTATTCCTAGGATTCCTAGAGAGTGCACTTCGGCCTGGGTACTGGGCATTTTACCTTAATAGTAACATCCCAACCCAACAAGAAGCAGATCCAGTACAGTAGTAGTATATGGAAAATAGTAAAATTCAATGCATACATATGCTCAGGTAATCATGTGTGGGTGAATAAATGGAAAGCATAAAAAATAAACACCCAAACAAAAGAACACACAAGCTAGAATCAACTCCGGGATGAACCAGCAGTTGGTCGACCTATCCTCAGTGAAGGCGCCAGCTGAAATAACCGGCTGAAAATCATCAAACAATGAAGTCACCATTGAATGTCTTTTATCCCACATGAAGGGAAAGGTAAACATCGAGAAAACCTGAGAAGGGAGAAGTCACGGTCTTGCAACCGAGAGATCGGGTAAGGAGGTATGTTACGCGAGGGGAAGGTATTAGCACCCGTAGTACTCTACGGTATCCACTCTTGTTATCTAATCAAAGGGTGTGTTTAATATATGCTTACTGTTTATTATTGAGTAAGAATGCATGCAAAAGAAAGGATAAAATAATGTATGGAAAATAAAGTTGTGCTCACTTGGGCCCTACCTCAATACCTACCTATCCTTTTTGAGGAATCAGAGTTACCGTAGTTCGGCTCACATGTTTTTGTTTGTTTGTGTTTTTTATGAACAATGTTAATTCCGCCTTCTGCCGCAACTCGACCTTCGGAGGCTCACGCATTAGCACAAAAGTAAATTAATCATGTCCTTACTTAAAAATAATTTTGAGTTACGGCCTCGAGGCAAGATGCCACATTTGATTGGTTTGTGTTTTTTGTTACCTTGAAAAAGGGTTTAAGTGTGATTAGCATGTTTTGTGGTTTGCTAAGAAAAGTTTTAGTTTTAAATGCATATGCAAAAAGGGGAAGAAAAGAGACTAAGTGAGACTAGCCTATTTATCATCTAATGTTATCATACAATGATGGCCCTACGTCAAGGATGAAAGGGAGATCTCTTCCTAATGTAAGCATGCATGGTTTACAACCTAAAATTTAACTTGCATCCTAAAGGAACAAGTACATCCTAAGGGAACATGGTATGGAAAGCGAACAAACAAGAAAGCTCGAAAGAGCACACACATGCCATGAGTAGTGCACACTAACTCGGGTAAAGGCCTAACCAAGATATAGAAGATCGAGGTAGGCGACAGAAGATAATATGAATGATCACAGAGTGTCAACATCGGCCGATGCGAACTCCTGACAAAGTGTGGGGGTTTGAATGCAAAACCCTTCCCTACTTGATGACTCGATATACATGATCTTAGGAATATGTTCGGAGCTCGGAACTTGCAAAAAGTGAGCATAGGAACGACACGAACAAAACTGGTGGAGGTTGATTGCTAACCCTTTCCAGTTTCCTTCCCATGAGGACTTAGGAATGTTTGCCATAAAAGGACCTAAAACCATCATCTCGCTATACAAGCACAAAAGTAAACACACGTGCAAAATACCTACTTCAAAGGTAGGGTTTTAAACAACACAATGATCTGTTTTATTTAATTCAGTTTTTTGTTATTACTTAATAGACAAAATAAAAAAGAAAGAGGAATTTAGGGTAAAAATTGGGTGAGACGGTTGAACTTCTTCGTCTTCTCTCATCAACCATGCGAAAGTTCCTTCTCTTCTCTCAACACATACTACCGCTGACGCCGAAGCTCCACCTGCCTCCGCATCTTCGGTTCAACCTTGTTTCTCCCTCATCCGAACTACTTTACTGAAATTGGAAACAAAACTAACACACCATATGCTACAGATTCACGATTTGGATTCTCTCACCTCGATCCGCACAGAAGATGAAGGAGATTAAAGATTGCATCTTATGAAGTTTACCTGCAGAGACGCTCTGACGGATCTTAAACAGTGACGTAGTTTGAAAGAAATCCCGAGGAAATTATAGGTAACACTATACATCCATCAGCCTTCAGTATATTTTATGGTCATGCTTCAATTCGCGTTTCTGAACTGCTTCTGCTTTCTTCTTCTTTTTCTCATTTTTTTTGCATTTCTCCGATTGTGTGAATTTGTTGTTCTTAATTGTAGTGGTGTTGTGATATTGAGCGTTGAAACTAAGATGATGATGGTGAAGATGAAGATTGTTGGATTTGCAGAGAGGTGAAACAAAGATGGAGATTTGTAGAAAGAGAATGGAGATTGAGAGTGAGGTCGAAGATGATGATGGGAGATGGAGCTTGCCGAGAGAATGAGGTTGAGAGGTGAGTATCCTGATTTTTTCTGACTTTTTTTGTTCTCAATCGTGAATATCCCTCTCTCCTCATTCTGTTATCCTTTCTGTTATAACCTGCCGCTGAAAGTTTTGTTACAGAGTTAGTTAGGACAGTTAGAGAATTGTTTTTTTTCTGCTGTAATTTTTGGTGAAGAGCTGTTAGGAAGTGTTAGAGTTTGGTTAGAAGAAGTTTATAAATTATTTTGGCCGCTAGTTGGTTAGGAGTTAGTTACAGTTTAGTTGCTAATCAGTTAGAAATTTTGTTTAGTTTTCTGTTAGTTGTTAGTATGAGTTAGGAAGGTAGAAATTCTGTTAGAGAAGGCAGTTAGGGATTAGAAACTGAATTAGTTAGAGGGTTGTGGACAGTTAGAATCTGTTAAAAATAGTTAGGATCTGCTAGCCTTCTGCTGGAAGGTCTATTGTAAAAATAAGTAAGTAGTTTAATAAAGAATTAGTAAAGGCTAGCTTAGTTTGAAATTTATTTTGGAATATTAGGTTATGTGGTAAGATAGTTAGCAAACCGTAGGTTACTTATGATTAATTTTAAATGTCAGTGGTATATACTCAATAGGCTCAACATAAAGACCATCTCTGAACTTCCTGGAACTTTAGATTACATTATTTGAACTAACAATTCTGACTACCTATCCATATTTGTAGCATGACTCTTACTTTGAAAATGCCTTATCTGGTTCTGCATCATGATTCTGACTTTGGGAATGCCTTGTCTTTTGAGTTCATTAGCATAGAGAGTGTGATAATGGTGCTGGTTTTTCTTTAATATGTGCAGGGCTGTTTTTTTGCAGGTTCATTTGGTTTTGTTTAAGTCTTGGATGCAATATAGAATTGAAGCAGAAGGCATGGACATGAAGTTTTGGCACATGGCTTGAAGATGAAGAAGCTTGGGAGTGAAGGATGAAGTTACTGAGACCAAAGGCTTGGTCATGAAGCAAACTTGAATACACTTTTTTAGAATTAGGTCTAGAACCAAATCTTTGTATAATTTTCCTTGATATTTGTAAAGGATGAGTTTTCTTATGATGATGTATTGATGCCTTTGAATTTGAAATGTCCCTGCATTCTATTCACTTTGTGATTAATGATTAAAAAACTCCAAGTATTCGACCAACTTTCTTCTCCAAATTGCATACTCCTTTCTTTGATCATGAAAGATCATTGATAGAATGATGAATATTGTGGACTTTAATGATGAATGTATTAGAAATTTAGATTCATTATTTGAAATTGAATGATAATGAATAAATTTGAATGACAATTGAACTGAAATTTTGAAATTTGATGAATCTTGATGTATTATTTTCCCTTTTGTTACTTGAATCTCAAGATATCAACCATGAGTGATCCTTCTGATCTTGTATGTCTAAAAATGATCCTTAATCTCACTTCAAGTCCCTAAATCCCAATTAATTTTCATTTGAAGTAACCCATTCCACATTGGATGGAAAACGGCCATAACCTAAAATAGCTCCCATAACAAGAACGTCTCGCTCACAAAGGATTTGCAACTATATATCTCGCCATGATTCATGCTTCACAAGACATTCTAGCTTGATGACCAGACACTTTAAACAAAATGTATTAAGGAAACCTTGAAGATGAATACGAAAACATGGTAATAAGTATACCCAAGAAAGCTTTGTCATGAAACCCAATGAACCTCAGTTGTTGAACATCAACAAGCTCAAATATGATGAGTAACCTACCCTAGTTCACTTGCTTTTGATGAATTTTGATAATGAAAGTAGCTTGAGGCGATGGAGGGAACCAAAACCTTAGCTCACAAAGGTCCCTAATTGAACTCTTGATGAATCATAACAAGTTAAAAGCCTAGAATCTTGCTCTGATTGTTGAAGAAGCTTCTTGTATCCCTTGGATAAAGAGAAGAGCCTCAAAACCATAAAGAAACCCCGATTCCATAATATCATCGATCCCATGCAAAATTTATTGGTTAATGATGCATGTGGTGTTAATTGACCTAATGGAGGGTATGTATATGAAATGAGAACAAAATGTATAAGTCATACGATTTGATGAAAGGGTATGACAAATTTGGGGTATTAGACCAGAGATGTTATTCAAGCTAAAGAATGCTTGGAATAAAATTCATAGAAGGAACAAAGACTCTATGTAAGAAGGTTGATATTATTAGAGCTCCATATCTAGAGTGGGTGAAAAAGAGAGTGGAAACCCTTTTGTTACATTTTCCAAGAGTAGATTCGTTGTACGAACAACCACCTCTTGTTTTGTCTGAATCTGTGCCTACAGAAGAATATAACCAGGTTCGAGTTGAGAATATACAACTTTGCGAGAAGGATCATGAGTCAAAGTTGAAAATTTATGAAGCTAGGGCATAAAAGTTGGAGTTAGTTCATAAACTCAAGCTAGCCAGTGAAGGAACTTTTGGAGTCAGAAAGGCCAAGAGGAGACCTGGAATGAAGGAAGATGTTTCTATTCATGCTGAAGATTACAAGAAAGCCCTTGAAGATGCTAAGAAGAAGCACTTAGAGTGTGTAAAGCTTTAGGTATCCAGAAACAAGTATAAAGAAAAGGTTAAGGAGCTAGAGATGCAACTTAAAAACACAAGACTGGGCAAGGAAAAAGACCAAAGGCGTGCAGAGGAAGATCATATGACATGAGTAATGGAAGAGAATGCAAGACTCCGAGCCCGGTTGGAAGAAATGGAGAATGGACTTGTATCAATTCTGTAACACTCCAATTCTACCTGACAGTTATTATATAAATCAGCGTTAAAAATTCGACAACCGAATCAGGATGCTACAAATTCAACTCAAAACAACGGCATTCAATACAGATACATAACATATTAAACTTGGATGAATCAACAACAACATAAATTAATCTTTCAAAACCAACAACTTTCATAACTACGCAGCGGAGTCAAATATTCAACTTAAAGGAATATAACATCTTTATCCAACAAAAACAACTTCAAACAACTTAAAGTGAAACAACTGAATAGTAACAATAAAATAGCAAGTGTTCATCCCCCCCGAGTGTTACATATCAGAGCAGTGACACCGACTTGAACTATTCAAGGTAAACCGCTTTCACTCTGGACTACCTGCATGTTACCAACGTATGGGTAACATTCAAACAGAAGGAGTGAGATATCGAACAATATAATCAGATGTATGATAATAATACTTTAGAATTAGTCTATTCAAAATCACCATATCACAACTTTAAACAACATCAATCACAACAAAACATCAGTGAAACATAATAATTGATTCATCAACACAACAATTCAATATGCAACGTGAAATACAACTTGTTACTACGCATATGCATGTGGTACCAGCGAAATAGAACTCCCAACTTAAAAATGGAGCAGAACTCCCAACTTAGAAATCTGCCAATAAATAGAGGCATCAACAAGGCATAAGCCTTCAACTTAATATTTTTCCAATCCAGGCCAACATAACGAGCATTAGCTCTAACTTGATATGTGATGTATGCGACACAACATGATTGTAGTAACAACAACAACAAACATCAACTTAACATAAATCAATGTTGGTCATAAGCCTACAACATCAACAACAATTCAACATCAACATAATTCAACTTTGGCCATAGGCCTACAACATCAAAAACAATTCAACATCAACATAATATAACTTATACAACACTGGTATCGACCAAAACAATATACACAGGCAATAGGACTAGGAAAACTACATACCCCTCGACATGCATAGCAACTGAGACAAAATAGTAACTGACTCACTACTCTTCCACACGCACAGAAACAAAGAATAATAACAACTAACTTTTGTTCCTCGGTACAACCTGTAACTTCGTTCCGCTCAACAACAATATCATGCTCCTCGGTACAACCTTCAACTTTGTCCCGCTCGACAACAATACCGTGCTCCTCGACACGCGTCACAGCCTAATGCCGCTCGACATCCAACACATATATTCTCTGACACACCTTGCAGCCTAAATGTCGCTCGGCACCTAACACCATCAACATCCTCCTCGACCACTAGTTCGGCCAACAACACAAAATAACACGATGTCATAATGACCACATCAATACAATTTATAACTTCCGACCAACTGCTTAGAACACCACAATAATGGGAAACTATATTTCCTATCAACAAATTCATTCATTGTATAAGACAGTCATGCAGAAACCCTCCTAATACTACCACAACAATAATTCCTAATTTCCTGCGAACTGCTCGGAACACCACAACATCATAACGACCACAACACCCAGTGATAAACCACCCTAATATAATTATCGATTATACTGGGCAATGATATAGACAACTCAAACCTCCTATAACACTACTAACAGGAAACTTCAACAACAGGTTCACTAATCATGTAGGACAGTCATACGGTAACCCCCTAAACAACCCCAACATGAGGAACCAGGAAACTTCAAAAACCGACCCAGGACCATCAACGTACAACAGTCATACAAATGGCCAATTCCCATATAATACACATCATAAATCTGATTATAAGGTAAGAACCCCACCCTTACTTGGATTTAAGGTCGCACTACAAAAATCCAGCCGACAACTTTGCTTTGCTCTGCTCAACAACCGTGCAACTTTGCTCGACGACCGTGCAACCTTGCTCCTTTCGTCGCATAACTTTCACGGTCACGCACAAAACTTATTTATCTCCAACTCAAACAAATCTTTGTGTCAGCTTAACCTTATACCTTAATTCTATTGGGCCTAACTTACACACCCCCATTTTACTACTTTCGACCAAACAAATAAGTCCAACACCATTATTCCATTAAACCCAACATTATTATTATTATTAATCAACTAATTAATTAATTAATAATAATCTAACAACTTATACCAATAATTCTCAACATCACAACTTTATAACAAATAATCCAAAAATAATTTAATTAAATAATTAATTAAATTAACGGGTGTTACAACTCTCCACCACTTAGAATATTTTCGTCCTCAAAAATCTACTCGATACTACCACTCTTAACGCGAATTTCGCATCTCATTCTTTGATTCC